CATCTTCTTTTAATGCTTTCTGGATCATTTAACATTCTATCCAAAGTATCCTTAATATTGCCACCCGTGGCTTGAATTTGTTTTTCAACTCCTTCAGCTTAAGAAATGCTGAGAGAGTTCAGCCCTTTTGATTTTCTGACTCCAGCTCTCTGCACATTTCATTGCTTTGTCACCTTGAGCTGCCTTTTGAAATTTTCTGTTCAGCTTCTTCATTTCTTGGTTTCTTCCTTTAGCTTTGGCTTCTTGGCACTCTAATGCAATATTCAGTCTCATATGACATCCATCTTGGTCTTTCTTCTTCTCCAGCCTTTGTAATGATCTTTGGCATTCTTCATGGATGAAGGTAGAAGAGAATCACAAGTTTTTCATTAGTTTGTAACATTCTACATGCAACGACAATGTCTTCTAAAAATATTTCAGAAATGTTATAGTCTCCACCCTTGATATATAGATTGAACTGTGTGTGCCTATAATGTTTAATGGAATCCTGACCCCTGTATCTCTGGATATGGTCCCTTTGGGAATAGGGTTTTGTTTGCTATGTTAATGATACCATATCAGTACAGGATGTGACATAAATATAATCTCTTCTGAGTTAAAGGGCAAGAAAGACAAAGATATGAACAAATACAAGTTGAGGGAGATAAGAGAAGTGGGAATGCAGGGCTGCTGGAGCTACAGAAATGGGAAAAGGAGAGCCTTTCTTTGGGGCAGGCACCCTGGATTCAGGCATCTAGCCTCCTAAAAAATGAGGGGATAAAGGTCTACACTTTAAAGCCACTCACTTACAATGTGGGTTACAGTAGAAGTAGGAAACTAAGATGCCTGTTGTTGTTGTTGTTGGGTGCTGCTCTGATTCACTGTGGCTCTACATACAATGGAAAGAAACCCTGCCCATCTCACACCATCCTCACAATGGGTGCTTAAGTGTACTGTTGTAGTCACTACATCAATCACGTTGCTGAGGGTCTTCCTCTTTTTCATGGACTCTCCACCAAGCACAATGTCTTTCTTCAAGGAATGGCTCCTCCTGTTAACATGCCCACATTATGTGAGGCAAAGTTTGACCACCCTCACTTCTTAGAAGCATTCTGGCTAACCGCTTACCCTTATACAGAAAGGGGTGTTAAGAAATTAAGGGCATTAAAGGTACTCCCTGAAAAACCATGTCAGGCCTTGGGGATTGAAGACGGAGAAGAGAAAAGACCCACATGAAGGGTATAGCTGAGGGGAGGGAGGCAGCTATGGGTGGTGGGCACTGGTGGGCACCGGAAGAAGGGGCTGGAGTCTTCCCACACTGAATATTCTGGCTTAGGCCTGGCTGGACCTAGGAGGTCAAGAGTCAATCTCTGATGGCGTAAGAGTTAATGTCAATTGTACTATATGTGAAAGTGGCATAGTAGTTATGATAAAAAATAAGTGTGTATCTACTGGATGCATACTGAAAAGTTTACAAATGCCACACAGTAAAGTTAGACTCTGCTTCTAAACTAATGAGTGGCAAAGACAAGACAGAATCAGATCAGCACTAGGCCCCCACTGCTGAAGCCAGTGATGGAAACCTGGGATCCATTCCACGTTTCAAATAATGGGAATGTGTGAATACCTCCATAGTAAACAATTTTTCTAAAGGATCCAAGTGTTGCTTTACAATAACAGCCTTCATTTCTCCTCTTGACTGGCCATGCCCAGGCTGGTCTGACCCAAATTCAGAAGGAATGTACTACCTCTTGTACACTTACCTCAGGCTCTTCATTCAGCGTCTGCAGCATCCAGGTCTCCAGTGTCTGGAAGTCCCGGGGACCCTGGTACTTCACAGCTTCCTGTCCAGGCTTGAAAAACTTTAATCTGAAAGAACAACAGAGGATTGAGCAGAGTGAACCTTTAAAGTTTCAAACTGCTTTGACTTGAGAGCATTATCTTACTGGGGAGTAAACGTACTTAATGAAACAATCATTAAAAGGGGTTACAAATGGCCAGACACTCCGTTAAAACAAAAATCACGTTCATTTTTGTCAAGAAAAAGAAAAGTTTTGAAAAAGGCAAACCTGATACTAGGATTTAAACCTAAACTACAAATTTTCTTTTTTATTTACAGAACTGTCAAGTTTTTTTCCCATTAGATACTTTTTATCCTTTCCAGACTTTCATTTACTAGGTTTGTTTTTTGTTTATTAAATTTTATTAGTTTTAATGAACATTTACAGGGATTTTGGGTTTTCATTCCTTCATTGCTGCACCATTCTCTCTACCCTCCTCCCCAGTTTGTTCTTCTTCCCCGCCATCTGAATGTCTGTTTTAATTGTCCAGTTGCCACAGTGCTTGTCAAAGTCAGTTCTGATTAATCTCCTCTGTTGGTGTGTCCCTATCACTCCTCCCTGAGAGAGACTTCACCCTGATTCATAAGGAAAAGGGGATGGCGTATTCTCTTAGCTACTTCCTGCTGAAAAGGGACGCTGTGGGTTTCAGGGTGAAGATCTTCTCTCACTACTCTAAAGGGCCCCTTTGGCAGTAGGAAACACATAGACTATTATGGAGATTGATTTTGGAATTTAGATGCACTCTTATTGATTGTGCTTGGCCGTACATGTTCATATCCTTGAAGATGTATCATGGGGGTGTTGCAACCTAGAAGACACAAATTTGACTAACAAGTTATAAGTACATGAGTCAAAAATTATGGAAAAGTAAAAGAAAGGATTCTTTCATTGTTTTACAAACCCTCCCCCAGGTCCCCTCCACCATGTAGCCCTCGCTCTAGACTCCTGTGATGACAGAAATACCTACCAGAATTTATGAAATACTTGAGCACCACAACAAGATAAAGGTAAATAAATCCAATAGAAAAATGGGCACAGGATATGAACAGGCACTTCACCGAAGACGACATTCAGATGGCTAACAAGCACATGAAGAAATGCTCAAAATCCCTAGCCCTAAGAGAGATGCAAATTAAAACAACTATGAGATATCATCTCACCCCAGTCAAAATAGCAAAATTTAACAGAACAGCAAGCAATAAATGCTGGCGAGGTTGTGGAGAAACTGGAACCCTTATTCACTGTTGGTGGGTGTGTATAATGGTACAACCCCTGTGGAAAGCGGTATGGCGCTTTCTCAAAAAGTTGCAAATAGAGATACCATTTGACCCAGCAATACCACTACTAGGTTTGTTTTTAAATTAAAAATAGGACAGATGTGTGACTGGCTTACAATAAATTCTAATTTAAACTACTTTATTAGGAATTAAGAGTTTATCTAAGCATGAATGCCTATTCAATCTGCATGCTGAACACATTTATTCACAGCTATTTGATCTGTATGCTGAACAGATTCAAGAAGCTGAACTACATAAAGAAGGTGGCATCAAAATTGCAGCAAGACATCGACAACCTGCATTATGCAGATGACAGATCCTTGTTTGTAGAAAGTGACAACTGGTTTTACTTTAAGTATTTACTTAAGATCAAAGACTACAAAGCTTCAATTTGGATTACATCTCAACAGCAAGAAAAAAATCCTCACAACCAGCAGTATCATAATATATGTAGAAAAGCCTGACGTTGCCAATGATTTAATTTTACTTGCCTCTGTAATCAACAAACCACCATGGAAGAAGCAGACAAGAATTTAAAGGAAGTAATGCACTGGGGAAATGTGCTATAAGGAATCTCTTCAAAGCGTGAACGAGCAGGGATATCAGCTTAAAAAGTAAGGTGTACCTGATACAAGTCATGGGATTTTCAATTGCTACATATGCAAGTCAAAGTTAGAAACCAATGTCTCTGAATTGTGGTGTTGGCAAGGAGTAATGAACATTCATTCCATGGATGTTCAAAAGAACAAACAAATCTGTGTTGGAAGAAGTGTAACCAGGGTGCTCCTTAGAGGCAAAGACAGTGAAACTTTGTCTCACATACTTGGGGCATGTTTTCAGGAGGGGCCCGCCCTCGTAAAAAGGCATCACACTGCACAGTCTAAGGTCAGAACCTCAAGGAGATAGACTGACACAGGGACTATAACTATGGACTTGAGCACAGTGAATATTGTGAGGATGGGACAGAGTTCTGATTTGCTATTCACAGGGTCACAATGAGTCATAATTAACTCAATGGCACCTAATAACAACTACAAGAGCATGAATATTCGGTTACTGTGGGAATCCAAGTTTTAATCATTCACTTTCCCTACAAATAAGAAGTCTTTATTTTGCCAACTTACATGGTCTGTAGAGAAACTACAGACAGGACTACAGGAGTAGCCCCTTCAGTGGTGAGCAAGATATCAAGAGAAGAAATATCACCAGTTCCTGGGCTACCCATCAATAAAAGATAAATATGGTGCACACAAACTTAATAGGTGTCAGGAGTGGAGGAAGAATGTGGGTACTGACAAAAAAAAGGAGTTCTGGTGGCCTAGTGGTAAGGCGCTATGCTGGTAACTCCAAGGCAGGCAGTTTAAATCCACCAACTGCTTCACAGAAGAAAAGATGGGCAATCTCCTCCCACGCAATACACAGCCTCCAAAAACCTATGAGAGGGTCAGCTATGAGTTAGCTCCAACTCAACAGTACGTAAGAAAGAAGACTAACAACAACAAAAAAAAAGTGAAGACTGCAAACTATCACCCCTTCCAGAGCATGCAAGTGGGTTTTACTGTTGTTGTCAGGTACTGCTGAGTCGAGCATGAATGACCCATGGCAACCCTATGAACAACAGATGTGAACCTGTTATATCCTGTGCCATCCTCACACACCAGAGCCCATTGCAGTAATCAATGTGTCAGTCTACCTGGTCAAGGGTCTTCCTTTCCTGCACTAACCCTCCACCTTCCCGAGCATCATGGCCCTCTCCAAGGAACACCCCCTCCTAGCAACATTCCTAAAGTATGTGAGGTGAGGCCTCATCATCTTTGCCTCCAAAGGGTACTTTGGCTGCACCCTCTCCTAGTTTTATATATTTGTTCTTTTGGCTGTCTATGGGATGTTTAGCTCTCTTCTCCAACACCACAGCTCAAATGCATCAATTCTTCTTCTTTCATCCTTATTCACTGTTCAGCTCTCAGATGCCTAGCAAGGGATCAGAAAGACCAAGGCCTAAATCAGACGTAACTTAGTCCTCAAATTAACATCCTTTCTCCTCAATAATTTAGAGAGATCCCTAACTGCAAACATTCCCAGTCCACTACATCATCTTACTTGTACCCATAATTAGCACTGTTGGTACCAGCAGTCAGGAAGTGAGGAGATGTGCTGCCCTGGCAAAGTCTGCATTTACTGTTGTTAGGTGTCATCAAGTCAAGTCCGATTCAGTGACTTTATGAACAAAAGATCTAAGCTCTCCCCTAAGTGCAATCCTTACACCCACGGCCACAGTCACTGTTGTGAATCCATCTTGTTAAAGGCCATCTCTTTTGCTGACTCTCCAACCTTTCCACACAATAACCCCTCCAAACAATATGCCCAAAGTATGTGAGATGAAGCTTTCTCAGCTTTGCCTCCAAGGAGCACTCTGGCTTCATTTGCCCAAGATAGTAAATGACACGTTCAATAAGGAAATGGTAAGAAGTCAAGATCAGAAACAAAAATTTCTAGTTTGGATAAGCCAACAATCACTAATTCCCCAGAGCCTTACAATGTAGTGTCACAGAGATCAGAGAAAACTCCCCAAGTCAAAGGATGGGAAATCCAAGCTGAAATGGATGTGCCTGGCCATTCACAGAGCACTAATAGATATGACGGGCTTAGGGGATGTCCAGACATGCTGTCTGTGAAGATGTAAGCCTAGTCCCCTCAGCCGTTAATATTTTGGTAATCACAACAAAAAGTCAAAATCTAACTCAATTTAGCTAGTACTTCATAAAATTTAATATATAAAACACTCCAAAGAATGCTCCCACCCAAACCAGCTACCTTCTGGAGCTCTCAGAATATCTATTACCCTCATGAAAGCAAATCCAACCCATTTTTTCTCCTGTGAAGATGTTGGTAGATTTGAACCACTGACCTTTGTGTTAGTAGTTGCCATCTTAGACTATAAAGTTGGCTTTTAGCCAATGTTGGTCTCCAATTACTTTAACTGCAAATACATCTTGCAAATCTTGCTAGGATAAGAGAGAGAATGCTTCCAACATTGACTGTCAAGCCTTGAGGGAGAGTGGTCTAAGACCCTAGTGGGAGCAAGACCCTGGTGGTGAGATTCTGGTGATGGTGTGGAGAGACTGTGGCCTTGCTGTGGAGAAACTGTGCAAAGTGTAACCAGAGAAACACTGAGATAAAGGCCACAGTTTGCTATTCTTGCCAGATAACTTAAGTTGACTTACAACTGAAGCTTCTTGAATTTGCTTTGCTGAACTAAAATCAGGACTTTTACTAATTAAATAACTGTTCATCTGGTGTGGTGCTGCTGGACTAAACCTAGACTTAGGAGATATTCTGTGCCTCTCCTGCTTCCCAACCTATTTCCCTAATAAACCCCACTCTTTGTACCACAACTGTAAGTCAAGTCTGTGAGTCAACAACGAATAAATGAACCTCTTGCTGTTGGTGTGGCTCTAGAAGTACCATGGGGCTGGGCTACAGGCTCTTATTCTGCTTTCTGCTCTGGGGTGGTGAGCGGCTGTGCTATTTTCACTCCCTCTGGACTTTTCAGAAAGACGCTCACGGCCCTCTGTTCTCATGTCCCACTTTCTGCTCATTAGACAGTAGTAACAAATGCTTCACTTCCTCTCAAGTCTCATTCTCTTACCAAAATGCTTCAAGATGGAAAACAGGTTACTAAAATATTAGAAAGGAAATTCCTCATTACTTTGCCAAAGTTAAAGTACAATAAAACCTGGGATTTTTATAA